CCCCAAAACCCCAAAACCCCAAAACCCCACTATATTGAATTTTCGAATAATAATCTAGTTAGAGATATATAATTGTTAAAATTTGAAAATGAATTTGAAATACTAATCTCAGAACAACTCCCTCTTGCAAAGTCAGAATAATTTAAATATACCTCAAGTTAATGAGTTTTCTAATATGAGGCAGAGCAGACAGTAAGACCAAAGTTTAAAACAGCTTAGATCGTCTGTTGAGACTATCCTTTCCTTTAATACCTAGTAGTTAGAGGGTAAAAAGTTCTAAGAAGGAGATGAATTTATAAGACTCTAAAAAGAATTCAAAAAGTTGGAATTAAGATATCAAGATTAGATTAAGATTAATGATGATTTAAAGCAAATGTTTCTCAACGCCTAATAAAGAAGAGGTTCAGATAATGGAGGATCATTTGATGGTTAAAACTTACTACTTCAATAGTAAGTGAGAAACTTAGAGGAGAGACTGGAGGATTCCTATCGTAATTAGCACTAGTTAGAGAATTTAATCGAAGAGTATGAAGTGAATCTTAAAAGAATAGAGGATAACTATAAACAGAACAACAAAAAGTTTCATGATATGCAAAAAAAGTACACTTAGTCGGAGCAGTCAAAGCGTGACATGGAGGCTAAGATGCTTAAACTAGAGTAGGAGAAGAATAAGATAAGTGAAAAATGGACAAAACTCTCAAATAAAAACAAGAATGAGGAGAGATAGAAGTCAAAAGTGAGACAACTTGAAGTGTAAAATGACTTCACTCAAAAAGAGATAAACAGCCTGAGTGAGAAATTGGAAAAATTAGAAAGGGAAAATATTATTCTCAGAAAGACTAACGAGGGGGCTAATGAGATTCATTAAAAGCAGCTGAACTAGCTAAGAAAGTTGTAAGAGACAATTGGTTAGTATTAAAGTGAAAAGGGCGTAGCTGATAAAGTAACTAATGAACTCTTGTCAAGAATATCAAGCTATGAATAAGAAATTGATGATCTAAGCAGCAGGCTCAACGATACTTAAAATAGCAGGTAGAGAGACTCAGAGTTGAACAGAAATGTTGAGCATTATAGCAGAGAACTGCAATCAAAAGAGTAGAAGATTTCCAAGCAAGAAGAAATAATAAACTCGCTAAAATAAGATTTAGAAAGAACAAATCAGTAGTTAATATCCAAGAATATGGAGAACTAATCTTTAAAACAGAGCTTAAACTAACTCTAAGGAGAAATGATTAATCTCTAAAATGAGTTAGAGGTTATAAACTAGTATTAAGCCATGAAGGAAGAGGCCTCGTAGAGAAATGATAGATTTCCAAATTAGCAAGTCCAGCTAGCTTTCACATCACTAATTCAATTATTAAATACTCCTTTCAGTCCATTTGATATGACTAATGAAGAGGATATAGATGTCTATGACCTAAATGGATTAACTGATACTTCTCAAAGGCTAATCTATGATGGAGAAGTATCATTTGCTATTCTGAGGGCTGAGAAAAAGCTCAATATTCTGTTCTAATTCTTTTAATAATCAGTAAATAGTAGTCCTCTTATGGAGTTTAATTAAACTCCTCACAATAGATTGAGCTCTGGAAGAATGGAGTTTTAGAGAGATTACTAGTAGTAGCAGTAAAACTATATTAATCCTTTAAGCTAACTCTAGCAAACTCAATATAAAGATTAAATGAACCAGCCACTACAAAATGATATGCTGGGAAGATAGGTAAAGATTTAAAATCTTGTGATTTAAAATCATGCTGGAGTTCAAGAAAACAACAAAATCATAAACATCAATGCAAACTCTCTTGTATGCAACAAAGAGAACTAGGACATCAATGTAAGATTTAATAAGAAGCACAACAACATACCGAAGTTGCACACCCAGTCCTATGACAACTTCAATGATGCCTTCCCAGTTGATTAGTAAGTTCACACGACTAAAAACTCAGTAGTCAGGAATTCTTTTTAGAGAAATGATCCTGCTAATGGAGGGAGTTAGAGTAATGCTAATAATTCCAGCAATGGCTGCAAATAGCTTGGGCCTATGAAGATATCAAATACTCCTAATGCTTTGTTCCAACAAAATTTCTAAGCTTTTAAGAGCAGATAGTAACCATTTTTATCCTCCTAAATTGGTGCAAACAGCACCTTAGGCTAGAATGATTTGAGCAAGCTAAGCAACAGAAATTCTTAATTAAGATCAAGTGGTGGCTTTGCTGGCGGAGTCTAAGGAGGGCAAGCATTCTCTCACAGATCAAATAGCATAAACGAGCAGATCCATAGGAGAAACTCAGAGACTAGAAATTCATACAGATTTGGTTCTATAAATTAATGATAGAGTTTAATTACTCAAAACTAAATTCGTTTAATTATCGTATTATTTGTAAAACTTATAATATATTTAAAAATATTAAATGCATTCAATTTTCATATCATTATTAACGGGGTTTTGGGGTTTTGGGGTTTTGGGG